GCCATAAATGAACTGAACCCCTAAAGCTCAGCTCTTAGTTTATCAAAAACGTCGAAATCCTTCTCATTGCAATCAAATCTTCTCAATAACTCATAAGAAAAATCGAATTTTGATTAAGCCGATGTTATAGGTATCACAAATACTACAAACTTGAGCAATATCGAAATTGCCAGCAAAAATTTGAAATTGCATTGCTCATATTTGTTTTGTAAACTAAAAATCTGCTTATATTATTCATTAATTTTTTATATATTATTCATATACTTTAATAAAAACAATACTATTTCACCTTAAAAATGAATTTCATAAGTCAATATTATTTTTTTGAAAATGTATCAATTTTCGATTAAAACAACATGAGAATAAAATTTACGCAAAATTATTTTAAAAAATGGTTTTAAAAATTTACAATTGATGAAGAATAAGATTGCAAGAAGTTTTGAAGTTTAATTTTAAGAAAAAAAATTCGGATATTATTCATGGATCTAAGTAATCTGATATTTGAGTATCGGCACTATGCATGAAACATATATTTATAGTTTTTTTGGATTTTTATGATTTTAAATATATTCAAATTTGGCAATCCAATAGATTTTTAAAAAATAGGTAAATAAAAATAGATTACATATGCAGCAGATTTAGAACATGAAACAAATCTTATAGTGACCCAAAAAAAAAATTCATGATCCAAAAAAGAAAAAATTTGGCTAAATGGGAATCAAACCTTGGCATAATGAATCATTATGTCGGATGTTTCCACTACACCGGCAGTTCGAAAAATACCCTTGGTGGTTCTATTTAATAGCTACTCCCAACGATAAGCGGTGTCCCCAGCTTTAGAGAGGTGGTAAAAGTAAGGAAAATCTGGGTATATTTTTTGAATAGTTTGCCCTTACTGAATTTTATTTAATAAACAGTATCCTTCATTCTTGTAATGTCTAAGAGAGTGATTCATAGATTTACGAAAGAAGAAGATGATATAGGGTGTCCAAAGGTGCGTTTAGCACAGCGCTCTATATGAGACTATTAAAGGAGATATATGCTGATTATAAATATATAATAAAAAATATGAATATATGTATATGATGAGTATGTTGTATTTTGGCGCCATGCCGGGATATAAAATGAATTTTGAGACAAGAGGCGGTTTCGCGGGAAATTTTGGCGGGATTTTTTTCATTTTTTTAATGAATCATAAAGAAAACATCCTCGCTCTTGCAAAAAAATGCAAAGACTGTAAAAAAATCTACGAGACATTGGTAAAATGCTTCGGTATGGATGCTCCTAGCTATTCCACTGTAACGTATCATGTTAGGATGTATCACTTCATGAACAAAAAGGCGCCCATCATAAAAATTGACAAAAAATCGCCGGATCAAAGAAAAATCAAAGCAATTCTTCAAGCGCTAGATGAAGACCCAAGAGCATCACTCAGAAGGATAGAGGAGATGACAAAGATACCACATACAACAGTCAGTTATTATCTGCACAATTATTTGAACTACAAACTAGCGTATACACGTTGGGTTCCGCACAACCTTAATTCAGTTCAAAAAAAATCTAGAGTCCAATCTTCGAAAGAGCTCCTCTCTATATTGGGTGCGTATCAATCCAAGAAGTTTCGCTTTTTAGTAACAGGGGACGAGTCTTGGTTTCAATATGCAACAGAAGCCAAAATCATGTGGATCCCGAAGGATGAAAATCCGCAAACATTCCCAAAGAAAAAAATTGACACGCCAATGATGATGTTGTCGGTTTTTTGGGGCGTGAATGGCATCATCGCAATTGATATTCTTCAAAAACCTAATACGATGAATGCTCAGTATCTAATTGACAATGTTCTTACTCAAATTATCAATTCTGATGAGTTTGAGAAATCCAAACAACAAAAACAAAAGTTTGCAATTCATTTTGATAATTCAAGAGTTCACAAAAGTCATAAGGTAATGAATTACTTGGTGGAAAACAATGTCAAAGTTGTTCCAAACCCAATTTATTCACCTGATATTGCACCCTCTGACTTTTATTTATTCGGCACGCTAAAAAAGAGAGCTGAAGGACGCGAATTCGCGAGTCCAGATGATCTTGAAAATTTTGTAAGAGAGCAATTTGAGCAATTTTCTCATGATGATTTAAAGCGTGTCTTTCAAGCCTGGATCGATCGCTGCGAACGCGTGATTGAATCCAATGGTGATTATATTTAAATAAACTTTATATATATGTAACTTGTTTATTTCTATTCGCAGTATTCAGGTTTGTGCTAAACACACCTTTGGACACCCTATATTATCATTGAAGAGGTCAAGAAGCATGGTGACGATATAAAGTTAGCAATTGACATCCTAGAGAGAAAATATCGGGAAAGGCATTCAAGAAGATCTATTATTGAGCGATACAAGGGCTTTTTGAGCCAAAATAGAGACAAATGGACGTCTGACGAAGATAAGCTGATCTTAGATAACTACAAAATTTATGGAAACAAATGGTCATTAATATCAATGTTTTTGAAGAATAGATCCGGAGATCAAGTAAAAATTCGTCACAAGCAGCTCACTAAGATAAAAGATTCAAATCCAGCAGATGAAAATTCGAATATGATAGACGTTGTTGCAAATAGTAATACAGATATCAGTGACGATTTTTGGATCAGTTTTATGACTGATTTCGAGATGGATGAGGACCAACTTAATAAAACTTTTTGTTTGATTTAATGTAAATTAAGAATGAAAGCGCATTTTTATTAGTATGCCTAAGCTACTATGGGAAATAGTAAATAATGCTGTGGTGTCAGGGATGTCAGGAACTTTTTTTTAACTCGGATTTATATCACATAAATATGAAAGTATTGAATTTTAAGGTTAGTAATTGAAATTTTACGCTTGCTTTGAATTGTATAACTTCATATAATTGATTTTGAATTATAAAATAATAACAAATAATCATCTAAAAGTACGAAAGTATTGACTTTAGATAATTCGATAAAGATTTTTTGCTTTCAAGTTTTTGAGAAAATAGAAAAAGTAATTGAGAGTATATTGTAGAATAACATAAATGTAAAATTGTAGCATAAAAATTTTTTGCTTGGGAGCAGATGGTATTCAAAAAGTTATTACGCTAGCATTCACAAAATTGTTATTGAAATTTGGCACATATTTAATGTGTATTCACGCATTAAGAAATTCAAGTTATCTTATTGAAAGATACATTGAATTTGGTTTCAAAAAGCAAAATTTGACTAAAGTAATTAAAAAAATCTGTATCTTAAATTTTTTAAATTAATTGTTTTATTGAATTATCAATTCCAAAATTAATTAAGGCTTTACGTTCATACATTCAATTTTGAGAGGCCATTCAATTAATATTGCGCCTAAAAGCACACTTGTAGCCTCATAAGTTTGCTTTTGGAAAGAACAGACGCCTAATCCATTATCTACATGATGATATGGATCTGTTGGTAGCACTCAAATTGAATAAATACCTAATTTGAAAAAAACTTGATTTTTTTCGTCCAAAATCAATTTTGGAAAAAAATTTAAATTCTGATTGCAGCATGACTATTCACAATATTAGGAAAAAAAAAAAAAAAAAAAAAAAAAAAGAAAAAAAAAAAAAAAAAAAAAAAAAAAAAAAGGTAGTGGGGCTTCCAGGCACTTCGTGCCTTCTAGCCCTGATGTTGATGTTTAGTATAAATGAAGTTTTTATTCGGAGGACTCTTCTTCTTCCTCCATTGCTTCTGGGAAGAAGCCTTCTTCTGGGTCGAAAACATTATATAATGTGTCGCTTTTCACAAATTATATATGTTTTCATGTTTTGTCACTTTTCTGTCACTTTTCAGGTAAAAAACATTTTTATTATATATATAAAATGAATTTTACAAAACCACCGTTACCCTTCTTTGGAAATAAGAGTAGATGTAAAGATATTCTATTGAGAGAACTTAAGAAACTACCGAATGGTCTAACATTTGTAGACTTGTTCGGTGGAAGTTTCTATATATCTCATTTGTGCCATACAATATTTCCTGACTCAAAGATTATATGCAATGACTTCGACAACTATATGAACCGTCTCAAACATATACCAGACACAAACAAAATATTGAAAGAGTTAAAAGAAAAGATACCTATAGGTAAGATGGAACGTATACCATTAGATAAGAAAAATACTGTCAGAGAGGTTTTGAAAAAGGCAGAGTATATTGACTGGGATAGTATATCTGCTAGACTATTATATAGTGGTGCTATAAGAGTTCATGACATTGAAACACTTATGTCAAAAGTTTTATATCTTAACTATACAAATGTTTTCAAAGAGGACATAGAAAAATATATTGAGGGTATAGAGTTTGTGAGATGTCATTGGACAGATTTGTATGAAAAATATAAAGACAAGGAAAATGTTTTCTTTATAGTGGACCGCCGTTCTATAACACATGGGATTTCCAATACCAAGTAGACTGGACTTTGAGAGACTCTTTAGAAACTTTAGACGTTTTACATAACCATCCATGCTTTTACTTTACATCCGATAAAAGTGGTTTGGAAAGTGTCATGAGATGGTTAGAGGACATACATGACTATGAGTTTAGATACGATAAGATAGAAATGAGAGAGGTCCTATAAACTGGAGAAAGTGTCATAACAAAGAAATTTTACTAGTAAGTAAATGTGGTTTGAAATAGGACTACTTGTTTTAGGTTTTTTCCATTGTGTCATTTACTTATTTGACGTGGCAGAAAGATATAGAGAATATGAAGATGAACCAATGCCAGCAAATGTTCAGCATATGTACTCGTAAGAGATATTTTTATCTAATATTAAATGGACGCACAGAACTTAGCGAATGCACAGCAACCTGGACAACCAAACCCAGAGAATATTCCAAATGAAGTTAGAATACAAACTGCAATGGCAAACTATGGTCAAGTGCCAACAGATGTACAAATGCAAACTGCCATGTCAAATGACGCTGCGTTAGGCTTACCACCATGGTATGCAAATATGAGATGGAAAGAGTTTTATACAAACCCTGAAGTGGGATATAAACAACTCTATGCAGATGACGCGAACACAGGAGTTGACCCAGAGTATGTTTTCTACCAGAGGAGAAATAGAATGTATGAGCTCCAGTTAAAGAATGCTATGGAACTCAGAAGGAAACGTAAGAGACTAGGTGGACATTAGATTTTTACATATAGTAAAATGGGTTTCTTCAGTAGTATTGGAAACTTCTTTCGAAATGTTGGAAGAGGTATATGGAATGGAATAAAAACCGTAGGAAGAGGAATTTGGAACGGTGTCAAAAATATTGGTAAAAGAGTAGGTCAGTTCGTTGGTATTATACCTAAAGACCCTGAACCAGAAGAACAAGCTCCTGTTATACAACAGCCTGAACCTGCACCACAGTCTAGTTGGCAACCAAATCCAACACCTCAACCGTATTAAAAAATTATATTTTTACCGTTCGATAGTAGTTGTATATGAAACTAAGTTCTAAGTAAAACGCGTGGTATAATGGAACTATTCTCTTTCTTCCATCTGTTGTAAACCATACTTGAAAGTCTGAAATACTTCCACTCGGTGGTTCATATAGGCTTTGTAGGTTTTTCGTAAAAGTCATTTGCCAAGCATAAAAAAGAGTTTTGTGCACCAGAAAATGAAGCATGAACGATAATAGCATCTGAGTCGAAAACATTTTCATATGTTCCATTAGGGTTTTCGACTTCATAAAAGTTCGGGTGTACTGGATATTCTGCAGGCTGATTTAACATCCTCAAAAATCTATACCATGCCAAGTTGTTATATTTTGTAGAAATATAAACGTCTTCTCCAAGGTCTTCTATTCTATTGAATTTAACAGTTGCATTTTTCCTGTCATATATAATATCGAGATGGTACTCTCCTTCGTCAATGTTGTACTGTTTTGCATATTCGAGATAGATATCGTTTATTTTTTCTTGAAAAGCTTGAAGAGTTGTTTCTAAGTTTACAAGCAAACTAACTTGTAAAAGTTTTCCCTGTTCAAATTTCTCATACGTATGTTTTTCTTTGTTATAGTATCGAATTTCAAAAGCGACCGTAAATGGGAAACCATGTATGGCTTCTGAAATGAACTTCATTCTACGAAAGCCAACAGCTTTTGTGACGGATGGGTCTCTTAACCATCTCAATGGGTAGTCAAAACGATAGCCTTCATGCTTTACGGTCTCTGTCTCAAACTTTTGACCGACATTCGTAAAAAGTTCATCTAATGGTTTAGTTGTAGCAACTCTTGAATTTTCTTTTTCTATTGAAAGCATATTTTATCTAGAATAAAAATGTCGAAAGAAACAGCGTCTATGAGAGAAATACAACACAACCGACAACTCATTTTGCAAGCTCTAAATAAGAACACAACAAACTTTTCAAACTATTCTAAGATATCTGAGTCATTGAAAGAAGGAAACTTAAAACTGACGATAAACCCAATGACAGACGAGTTTCTGTTTCAAGACAGTAAGAACCATACTGTTTGTATAAATCCAACAAAAAGAACTTTAAACGAGAAGCCTATAGATGAACTTCTTTTGAAAGCAGATATTGACAACAAAGCTGACAAAGAATATGTTGACGATGAGTTAGCACGTGTGGCTAGTGCGTTAGTGAAGAAGGCAGATAAGGAATATGTGGATGAAAAAGACAATGAAATTATAGAAAGGGTTGAATGGTATAATGAACGGACATCGAAGATTTTAAAAACGAAAGCTGATACAGGATGGGTTTCAGGGTGTTTAGACCTTAAAGCCGACAAAGAAACTGTAGATATGTTGGCACAAACGGTTTCAAGTCATACCAGAGGTTTAATGGAAGATGGACAACAGTTGAAAGAGCTTGAGAAAGGTGTTACAGAGTTAAGGAATACAAAAGCAGACTCGACATGGATAAAAGGATATGTAGATGCAACAAAAGAACGTATTTTCGCATGGACAGAAGGAACATACCCACAAAAATATCATAGACATAGCATCTCTGACGTAAATGAACTTGAAGAAAAGTTATATAAAAAAGCAGACAAAACAGAGCTTCAAACATTAAAGACAGAAATACTTCATACAGTATATCCTATAGGTTCTATTTATACGTCAATGAACTCTACCAGACCAGAAGTAGTACTTGGTTTTGGAACTTGGACTCAAATAGTCGACAGGTTTTTGTATTGTGCAAACTCTTCAAAGGAAACAGGTGGAAGTAAAACGATTTCAGGTGAAAACTTACCTGCACACAGTCATTACATAAATTTAACTACAGCTGAAGCAGGTTGGCATAAGCATAGATATTGGGATTGGACAGGAATGACAAAAGGTAAAGGATATGATGTTAAAGATGACGTTAAGTTTGCTATAAATTGTTACTGGAATGACACTCAGGGAGGAGGAAGCCATACACATCGCATTACAGGATATTCGGAAACAACAGGACAAAGTAAAGACTACATGCCACCTTACATGACAGTTTACGCATGGTATAGAATTGCTTAGTCGTCATTTTCAACTTCTTTAGCATATTCGTCTGGAGTTGTCTTATATTTGTTAGGAACTGTCTTTGAAAGTATACCACCTTGAACCTTAACAAGTTTGAAACGAGGTCTGACAATAGTAGTTTTATCTTCTGCTTGCAGTCTGTACATTTTGCCATGTTTGCCTAAAACTTCATAATATTCTCTTGTATACTTTCTTCTATTTTTACGAACACGAACGTGAGTACCTGTCGAGTTCCCATTGTTGTCATAGTCAATAGTATTTTCATATGGGTCGCGTTTAGGTATTTCTATTTTTACTTTGTCACCTTTCTGAAGTTTGAAGCCTGGCATTCTTTCTTGTTTGTCTCTTTTGACTAAACTATTAAATATATAGTCTTTCTCTAAGTCGGGGTTGTTTTTCATTTCTTCGGGGGAGTGGTTTCCCAAACCTTTTTGTTTACGGCTATTGTAAATATTTAAAACTTGTCTCATCTTTGCCATGGAGAAGTGTCTATATTTGTCGTCATATGACATTTCATCTACCTCACCACCTTGTGGTTGGTTTAAGTCTCTTAAGATTTTTATACAACTGTCAATGACACCAAGAGCAGAATGGTTTTGGTCGACAATGAAATATTGGTTTACATTTTTTGAACGCAGATAGTTTTTAATATCGTCTGATTTGAAAGAACTTTCACAGTCAGATGTCAGTTTTGTTGGATGGTATTTGTCAACGAATATTGTCAAAGCAGTTTTCACATCTAAAATATTTTTGGACTGTAATGGTATGGCTTCACAGTATCTTGTGTTTTGACCGACAAATATTAGCCAGTATGGAGGTCCATCTTCTCTATACCTCGGAATGTTTTCCAAGATATCCATAAACCAAGCATTTGGTGTTGAACTAAAGATTTTTATCATGAGTGCTTTCTTTGTCGCTTTAGAAACATAGGGGTCCTTGTTTGGATTCGTCATTTTTTACCCTATAAGAAATGGGTTTATTTGGCGCATTAGCAGGAGTTGCATCCAGATTTTTGCCCGCAGTGGGAACAATAGCTAGAGGTGTATTTGGAGTTGGAAGGAAGATTTTGAGTACATTAGGTATACTTAAAGAGAAAGCACAACCTATTATACAAACTGTACAGAAAGGTTGGGATGTAGCACGAGATGCAACAAATCTTATTCCAAATCCTGAAACAAGAGGAAAAGTTCAAGGATGGATGGACAATGTAGGAAGACAAGCAGGAAACTATTATAACAAAGCAAATGACTACTATAACCAAGCAGGACACTATATGGACCAAGGTGAAAGATTCTTTAACAGAGGATATAACCATGCACAACAATGGGTAAACAATAACCAACCTCAACCGCCTCAAACTTGGGGAATGTAAATTTTTTTACTGAGATGAAATGAACAATACAGCATTGAGACAAATGGGTTCAAGATGGATTTGTCGACTTCCAGCAGTTACAACCACACGTGTTTGTCAAGTTCTTCCTATACCTCAAGAAGTTTTAGACCGACTTAAAAAACCTAAACAACCAGTTGAAAACAAACCAAACTAAAATTTTTTACTGAGATGAAATGACCGAAGAAGTTGAAACGGTAGATTTGACACCACAAACAAAAAGTTCAGAACCATTGTCAAAACCTGTCAAAGAACTTACAGATGAAGAGAAAAATTCAATAATAGAAAGTGCCAGGTCTGGAAATACAAACCCTAACTACAAAGTCACTTTTCATAGAAATGGAACGGCTAGTATCTCAAAAAAGAAACAGACTCTCACAAATAAAATATTGAAGTCTGAAGGAGCTTTCGAGACAACAGATGGGAAGGTATTCTTCACCGACCAACAGTTCATTATAGAACATCTCATTGACTTAGAGTCGAAATATTCTAAACTTTACAACAAACACAAAAAGTTGAAAGGAAAACAAAAACAAATGGCATATGATATTTATGAAGATGTTGACGACACAACTGTTCCTGCAAGTGAAGTAAAGTCAGGTGAACCAAAAAGTGACGAAAAACCGATAGAAGAAGGTGAGCCAAAAACTGAAGATAAACCAAAACCAAAGGTTAGTTTCCAAACTAAACCAAGTCAACCTTCATTAGCTGGTATGGGTTGGCGTCAAAGACTTATGGCAGCAGGCGGTTATGTAAAGTAAAGAAAAAAAAACATTTTTTTATTTTTATAAAAATGCCCCCGTATAGAATGGATAGAAGGTCTGCTAGAATAAAAGCAGAGTTAGAAAAGATATGGTTGGAAAGTTTCAAAGAAGTTTAAATATAGGAAGGGAAGACCCATAAAAGTCTATGACAAACTGGCTGGTCTGACCTATGAAATGGACTTAGGAAACAGCGCGCGCAAATTATCCAAACAGGTTAGAGAGGTTAGAAGAAGAACGTCTTATGGACATGCCTTTCGATGTTTCTGAGCCTCAAGTTGAAGGACACGACGGCTTTGCCAGATTCTACTGGAAACATGACGAACAATTGCATCCTTTGAGAAGGAAAAAAGGGAAGGGTGAAGACAAACATGCTCCCATGGAAAGAACAAGATATGCATATGAGAAGTATCGTGAAGTTAGAAGTCAAATTACATCTGGTCGAACCTTTACAGTAAACTTTGACGAAGGAAAGAACAAAGAAGGCTTCATGGGTGTACTTGCTGCAATTCAAGACGGAAATAAGAAAGGATACAATCTCAGACTAACCGTAACAGATTTGGACGGTCACATTTACTATGCACATGGCAATGTCACAACAGCCGCACAACTTCTTGACGCTTTCAAGACTACAAAGAGAGAACAAATGGTTGACTCCGACTCAGACATTTTGAATGCAATTGAAGGAATTGCAAGTGTCAAGTTCGAATGGTACCAACCTAACCCTCAAGCAGTCAGACAACATGCTGGATACTTCCCCTTCATAAATAAGTCTGACATTGACTTGACAAGGTATGGAATTTACAATTCAATTGAAACAATTGTCAATGAACCTTGCATTCTTACATGTCTCAGGAACTCTGGTCTTGTTTCAGAAGAGAAGATGAAGTATCTTGAGTCATGTGTGAAGACAAGGTACATTCTCAGAGGTCAATTGTCAAAGATTGCACCGTTGGCAAATGTGAATATCCGAGTCAACATTCCGACTGAGAAAGGTTCTTCACATGACGACTATGTTGTTGACAAAGACTTACCATGGTTGAAGATTGTAATTGTCCACAACCACTTCATGTTGAACGAAAGTCTTACAAACCCATTGTTCGGAAAGGCAAATGCAACATTGTCAGAGCTGTTAACATTCTTTTCGAGAAAGGTTTGTTGGAACCAATTCCAGATGACAAGCTGACAGAAACTTTTGTACCAAAAGATGAAACAAACTTTTCATTGTTGGTAAGACCAAAAGTTGTTCCAGACAAAGTTATAGCACAAAAGAAGTACACTGTTCCAAAAGGAGTTGGATTGTTCGGATACCAACCTGAACCAGAAGAACTTCCAATGAGGTTGCAAGAACTTCAAGATGCTATAAACAAACTTCCATTGAGACATCCAATTGACGTCAAATTGTATTGGAGAGCATCGGAGTTAGGTCAGAAGGTTTTATATGAAACAGGTTGCTTCGACGATGTTTATGAGATAACAGGAAGTTTCTCAGAAGATAAGAGACTCACTTGAATTTCCACGAACTGGACCCATTGGTTGCGACAAGTTCGACTCAGATGAAAAGATATACTATGTCGACCTTAACGCTGCGTACATGAGGTTCGTCCAATATATCCCGACTGGAATTCCAAACGAAGATGGTGAGTTCCCAGGAAGGAACTATACAGTTGGAAAAGTCATACAACAACTGTATGATATTAGGAAAGCTTCAAACCCCAAACTTGCAATGACACTCAAATTGCTTATGAATTCGACATGGGGATATTCCATTAAAAACCTCAAGAGATGAAGAGTAAACACTATGAGAAGGTCGACAACTTTGTTGAAAGGTTTTCTCCTTTTGTTTTGAAGTACGAATTCACTCAAGGTCAAAGTGGCTTAGTAACCACATTAAAACCTATTGTCGAACATTGGTCTTACCCTCAGTTCGCAAAGGCAGTCCTTGACAACTACAACAAATTCTTCTCCGAAGTCAAATCGAAAGTGTGGTTTACTATGAGAACATTGACGCACTCATGACGAACGAAGAAGGATACAACAAACTCATTGAAATGGGAATGGTCGGTGAAAAGATGGGTCAATTCAAATTGGACAAAATTTTCACCGAAGTTCATGTCCTCTCCAAGCGTAAGTACTGGGGCATACTTGAAGACGGCACAGAAATAAAACATTGCATGAAGTAAAAAATTTTTATTCGAATTTGAATTAAAATGTGGGAATTCTTGGGAACGGGAAAGGCTTATTTACTTGAGGAACAGGTAAAGGTGGTGGAGGTGGAGGTGGTGGCAACCAGTCCATTTTATATTCCTTCCTAGCTAATTTCCGTTTAATTTCATGGTCGCCCTCGGAGTCTTTGAATCGGACAGGTCGAGTTACACCATTCTTGGTCTCAAACTCATATATAACCTGTTTGTTTGTATTTTCGTCGACTATGGCACGAGACACAAACATTGACCAAACGGACAAAAAGTGTCATTTCAGATGGTCAAGCAGCCAATCGCATTCGAGCACTTCGAAGAAGCCTTACGTTCCAAGGGAGAGGGTGTCTGGTGCAAGGGAGAGGTCATGAGACTCTACGAGCAGTACATCCTCAATGCCTGGGAGGACAAATCGTCCTTGGATTGGCAAATCTACCAACTCCTCTGGGACGACCTCCTACGCAACTGGGAGAACGAAAGAGTCCAATTCAAAGGTCGGGAACTAATTTTGCAAATTGACCTTAATTTCACATACTTATCCAAATAAACACCTAAATTTACTTGGGGTTTCCCCCTAAAATAAAACTTTTTTACTCTTAGAACCACTCGAGGTTCTCCTTACGGTTGTTGAGCTTGTCACCGTCAATGTGTCTGACCCTCGTCTTCTTGTCTGGATTTGGAACCCATTGCATACCGACAAGCCTTCCCATGGAAATTGTACCGTAATTCCGAAGGGTAAGGTTCAAGTGTCCCAAGTTGTTGAGGACTGGGGTAAGAACCTTGCCTGTCTCCTTGTTGCGGATTTGGTATGGGTAGGGTTGGGAAATTTCGTAACCGTCATCGGCAACAAGGGTTGCCCAAACTTCCTCTTCTTCGTGTTTTCTCTTCTTCTCTTCTTCTTCTTCTCTTCTTCTTTCTCTTCTTCCTCGACAATTCCTTCTTCAATTCTGTGTTCACGAAGTACGGTGTTGCATGTTCTGTCCTTTCCGAGTACCTTCCAGATGGCGTCTATCTCTTCGAAGAAACGGTAGATGAGTCTGGCAAGGTCTCGGTTCTCTCTCGCGTAAATGCGCAAGGTTTCCGTCAAATCATTCAGGCATTTCTCATTGGAAGCTTGGTTCATGAGGACATCGGCTTTGAGCTTGGTCATCTCTTCCATAAGACTACTTTGGAGAGTCTTCACGGTGTTTGACAGATGAGCTTTCAATTGGGCAATTTGAATTTGAACTGGGCGCTTTTCTGGCAACCTTGAAAGGACATCTGCCATTGAGTTTGGCTTCGGTGCTTGTTCGGACATCGAAAAAATGAAGTGGTTTGAGAATGACGGTTTTACTTCAAAAAGCTTGTTATGACAGTTATGTCATACAACAAGTTTAAAATAATATCTTGTTCTTCTTCTGAACGTTTGTTGTCTCTTCCGATAAAAGTTTCGAACATGAGAACCAAAAAACGTTTTTTGAGATTGCGGAAGAGTTCAGGCAAACGTTCATATTCTGGATATGTTGGGAGCAGTTCAAAACATCTGAGCTGACTTTCGGACAAAATTGGGACAATGTCAGAAAATTCATCTTTGGTCGGACTGCTTGAAGGTAAGTCCCTTACATGTAAGTAGCTCTGGTAAAGTCTTCTCATTTCTGCTAACTTTTGGAGTATAGCTTCGTAGTTTAGAAGTTTTCAATTTTAATTGTCTTATTCCACTCTTTACTTCTAAACGGTAACTATCCATGAGGTCAAGAGTAGCTTTGGTAGCTTTAAGTGGAGCTATCTGTTCCTTGACTCCTGCAATTTTGGTTGCAATTGTGGTTTGAGCTCCTTCAAGTTCGCCGTCTATGTCGTTCTCAACGCCTTCAACCATGGCTTGAAACTCTTCATCGGTCCATTGAGATTGGTGTGGGACGAATTTAACTTGCTTCATTCAAAAAATGAAAAAAATGTTTTTACTCAAAGCGTGCCATGTATATGGCTATAAGAAACTTACCAGAAGGCTTCTTCTTCACATGAGTCTTTGGCAACTTGAGTGTTGGTGTTGGAGTTGGGTCTGGAATTTCAATTCTCTCTCGAGCGCAACAACAGATGTCAGAATAACATTCCCCACTGTCTTTCTTGCCACCATAAATTGTGTATTGACCGAACTTGCATTTGCAGGAAGACCGGTCAATACAAGGTTCACAGTTGAAATAGTTGTACACAAACCTGTTGAGTACGAGTGTGAGTAAAAACATAAAAAAAAGTGAAGTTAAAATGAGATGTTTACTGAACTGGCTGAAGAATTGGTTGGATGTCGCCTTCTGAGGTTATGAAGAACGGCTGTCCAGAGTAGTGAAGTAGTGCTCTGAGAATTTGTGTAATTCGTGGAATTGGGCTCTCACGATATGGAAGTAGTATCCAAGGACGTTTCATGAAGAACTTCAAGAGGGCTTCTTTCTTCACATCCTTAATATCATCGAATGCAGTGCCTTCTGGAACTTGAATTGCAACACCTGTTTCAATTTCCAACTTTAAGACACTATTCTTGGACAACCAGAAGCCAATGGACTTGCTTGGTTTGCACTTGCTGAGATATTCCTTCACGGTTTCATTTACCTCAATTAGATAAATTGCTTCGTCTAAGGGGTCAAGCTCCATACTGAGTCAGTACAATATTGTACTTTTTCAAGACAATGTTGTACTTTTTCAAGACAATGTTGTACTTTTTCAAGACAATATTGTACTTTTTCAGAACAATGTTGTACTTTTTCAGAACAATGTTGTATAAATTCAGTACAATGTCTCTCAAATTTGAGTACAGCTGTACTTTTTCAGAACAAGTCTTGAACTTTTTCAGAACAATGTTGTACTTTTTCAAGACAATGTTGTACTTTTTCAAGACAATGTTGTACTTTTTCAAGACAATGTTGTACTTTTTCAAGACAATGTTGTACTTTTTCAAGACAATGTTGTACTTTTTCAAGACAATATTATATTGTTTCAGAACAAAGACGGTTAAGACACAAACGAATGTCCGACGTCCCACCTACTGAACCCGTTCCACAGCCAGAGGAACAGCATGCTCCAGCACCACAACAGTCTCCTCAGCAACCTCAGTTCCAACAAGGACCTCCGAATTACTACCAATTTCCACCTCAAGGTTACTACCCACCACAAGGCTTTCCAAACTACCCACCACAAGGCTTTCCAAACTACCCTCCTCAACCCATGCCTTACTTCCCTAACCCTTGGATGTTCATGTCAAACCCTCCACCCCAATTCCAATCTCAATCCCAATCGAAGAGAGACCAAGAGTTCGAAGAAGGTCTGAACCGTTTACGCAAAGAGTATGCCACAGCCCCTATGGAAGATGACAGGCTTTCAGTCTCTTCCCTAAGGTCGACCAATTCGACTCGTACCACAGATTCGGTTCGTGACCGTGAAGACTACCTCAAGCAGTCTGAGAGACTCTTCATCTTACAGCCATTTACAGTTGGAGCTCTCAAGAACATGCGCAATTACGAAGGTCAGACACCAGCTGGAGACCGCAAAACAGACGTACTCGCAAGAGCAGTCCAACTGGTCAAGACAAAGACTGAGATAGTCGACTTCATTCTTGCAGCTTGCCCATACAAGTAAAAAAATAAACAATTACGAGTTAAACTTTTTACTCTTTCTTTTCTGAGTTGTTTAGAGCTGGTTTCTCTTGTAGAAACCTTTCGTACTCTTCCATGGTCATGTAATTGCGAATTTGGTACGCAATTCCAGGTTCGTTGTTTTTGAACCTTACGTATGTAACGCTTCCATCCTCCTCAGGGAAGTAAGCTGCTAACATCTGACCAAGTTTTCTCGGTGACTCGGAGCTCATAAAAATGTCA